ACAAAGTTTTAAATAGAGTAGTCCTAGAATGATCTGGAATTGTTAGCATGTATACATTACTGAAACATAGGCTTGGGCATGTCGTGAGAATGGCTGATGGTCGGAATCCAAAAGATCTCCTGTATGGAGAATTAGTACAGGGAGCCCACAGCTGTGACACAAGGATATATGCAAGTGAGATCTGAAGGCCTTAGGAACAGACCTCAACAGATGAGAAACTCTGACATCTGAGCACTCAGCCTGGAGGCAGGCAGTGCAGCATGGCCTCTCCCTATTTGAAGAGACCTTTGTCCAGCAGGCCGATGCAAAGAGGCAGTCCCGAAACCAGCAAAACCAGGGAGTTGGATAGGGGACAGATTGTATTTGTCTTCAGTGTGGAAGGGATTGTCGCTCTCAAATTGGCCTTCTCAGCCACACTAGACACTGTTCCATGACCTCTATTCAGATCACGTTACCATCATCTCTCAAGACTGAAGGATGCCTACAGGCAGATATTGTGCAGTTACACAAACAGTGCAACCTTTGGAATCAACAGAAGTTAAAACACCTCCATAGACATTATCTCTTGCATACTGAATAGCATAACGTGGTGTGCAATAGAGATTTCTTAACTTATGGCAATTCACATCTAAAAGTTACATTTAGTGTAAGAATACAAGATTTCAGCCTTTGTTCTCCAACATGAAATAATGCTTAAGAAAACTCCAACAGAATTCTCATAATCAAAGGCTACATACTATTTAAGTCACAGCAGATTCTCTAGATGTCACTTTCCATTTCTGTAACACTTTTTGTGTGTGTAAAGTGTCCTTCACACTTTTCTTCTCACATGTGCACTTTTCTAATTCATCAATACACACTCACAAAAATGGCATAAGGACATTAACCCATATTAGTGACTCTGAACACACACCACAGTAAGTGTGTTTACATGGAAGGAGACAGTCTTATACTCTACAAAAAATAAAATCTCAGGAGAACAGGGAAAATAATACTAATATTTTCCTCATGATACATGAGGAAAATATTCCTTGTATACTTATCAGTTAGGGCCATTTCTAAAGGTAGCACTTTAAAATACAAAGTACTATGATACTTTTATGCACATTTAAGCAACGCCAATAAAGCAAGTCATTTGTTAGCGTAGCACTGAGGTGAATTTTTAGGGGGGGGTTGCATGACAGAGAATGAAACTATTAAAACTCTGAAAATCAGATAACTCAGGGTGCGGTTACACTGGAAAGAGATTTGATTTGTAGCCTGTATTACATTTGAAACCTCATTCAGTCATCATACAGGTTCACTGAGGAGTTAACTATTCATACTGGATGAGATATGATTCACATTCCAGCTCACAGCCCCCCTTCTTTTCTTCCTTCCTCTGATCCTGCCTCTGCCAATCCTTCCTTTCTTCTCTGGACCTCCCAATCATTTTATTGGGCATAAGTCATCTAATAATGACACACCACGAATGAGGTGACAGGTGATAACCTCATAAATGTAACAACTATTTTCATCTGCGGTGGATTGCCCAGCTGCGTCCCTATCTTGATGGCGGGGCCCTCACCACTCTGGTCCATGTGCTTGTAATCTCAAGATTAGACCACTGTAATACGCTCTACTTGGGGCTACCTTTGAGATTGATGTGGAAACTTCAAATGGTGCAGAAGGCAGCAGCCAGACTCCTTAGTGGGACAAGAAAACATCAGCACATCTCTTCCACTCTCGCTGCCTTGCATTTGCTGCCCATTCATTTCCGCAATTATTTCAAAGTGTTAATGATGACATATAAAGCCCTAAACGGTTTAGGACCTCAATACCTAGCAGAACGCCTTCTCCCACCTAGATCTAATCAAATCACTCGCTATAGCCTGGAAAGATGGCTGAGGGGCCTAATCCCAAGGGAGGCCCGGAAAGAACGAACAAGAAACCGGGCCTTCTTGGCAGTGGCCCCTCGACTCCGGAACAGCCTTCCATCAGAGATCTGCCTGACTCCCTCGCTGGGTGTTTTTAAGAGCCATTTAAAAACTTGGCTCTTTAGGCAGGCCTTCCCTCCTGTCAATACTTGATTTTACTTTTTATTTTGATTTTCTGTTTAGACTTTTCCATCTTGAGTAATACTAATATTACTGATTTAAATTGTTGTTTTAATTGTTTTTATGATATTTTGCTGTAAGCCGCCCAGAGCAGACATTGTCTAAATGGGCGGGATAAAAATCTAATAAATAAATAAAATAAATGAACTTTAAAAAAATTATTAGAAGTTTGGAGGGCAAACAAGGGAAAGGAAAGAATGCAGGGATGCAAGGTTCCACTAAGCTGCGAGTGCATGCACGTGTAGACAACTCCGCTTCCTTCCATGCAACTGGCTTCCTCCTCTATGCAGTGACTGTGTTGCGACGGAACCCAACTGGAACTGGGTTCCAGTTGCGACGGAACCCAATGCAGGGGGGAGTCGCTCACACGTGCACGCATGGGTGGAGACATATGAGAGAGAGGCAGAGTCCCAACCAGCAAGGCTGACAGAGGGTACACTGCAGGGATGTGTTCCCCCAGTACAACTGCCTACATCACCAAAATACCACCTACAGACATGCCACCCATCTTTACAAGAGCGTACCACAACTAACTGCATGGAGAAGAGCCCATTCAGATCATACCAGCTTGAAGAAGTAGACCACCACAGCAGAGATAAAAGCTGCACTAGACTGATGCAAAATCAGCCTTTGCATCATGTGGTCAGTAAAAAATAGTTCAAATTCACCCATTTTATAAACAGAGCAAATCCTGAGGTATTTGAGCATGTACTTACAGCTGCACTATTCTACCTCACAAATTAAGGCTGAAAAGTAATCGCTAACAATACCTCAAGGCTAAATCTGGATTTGCAACCCAGATTCAAGCATAACATTCAAGTCTACAGCTTTTTTCCTGAATTTTAAGTGCTGCAGGCTTTGTGTTTCAATAATAATATGAAGGACCATTAAGGAACTGTGCACACTAACATGAACTAGAGGTTAATAACTTCTAAAATCATGCTTTTCTAGAGGTTAATAACTTCTAAAATCATGCTTTTCACTATTCTTCTGTTTCAAAAACAAACTTTAATATTGATTTTACCAACTACAGTACTTCCCACTTATTCCTATTGATTGAGACAACACATCCGGAGCTGTTTTTTCCATGTAAAGAACAACACAGAATACTCTGTAAGCTTCCCTTTCTTTCCCACTCATGCCTCTTTTGTGGATGCTTAACTAGTTTCTACAATTTAAAGTCTGAACAGGTTATTTAATGTAAGGCTCAAGCTGTTTAAGAGTATGCATTCAGGAGCAACTTTTCAAAATAAGTATTAATTCAGTACAGTATAAGCTTTCATAAGACACTACCATCTTCTTAACTGTTTTCATAGTGTGTCTTTGAAGAAATAAAAGTATTTCTACTTCCTTTAAAAAAGCAAATACAAAAACTAAAACAAAAGTATTGTGGCACCATTAATACTAAAGTTTTGAATATATCACAATTTTTCTTGTTTTGTGTGTGTCTTTGCTGAAACAGACTAACACGGCTACCACTCATAAAACTATTTTATACATAAAGTTCTAATAAAGCCCATGCTTTATTAAAATTGCTGGTTAGGTAGCTCAGTGGTTTAGGTATACAGCTGTGGGGCGATAGAGTGGGAGTTCAATTCCCTTAGATGCTTCTCACAAACAAATGCAGTCCATGTGGCCTTGGGCAAGCTGCACAGTCCCAGGGCGCCCCCAGGAGTAGTAAACAACTTCTAAGTATTCTTTACCTGGAAAACTCTGATAAGGATCTCTCTAAGTCAAAATTGACTTGACTAACATATGCTTTATTAAAAGATAGCAAGACTACAAATGGGATAGCTGTGTCAGTCTGTAGCAGCAGAAACAGAAGTGTGTTATAGCGAGCAATTTTTATTTGACATAAGCTTAAATGGACACTACCAGTGTCTCACAAAGTGGGCTACAGGCCATGAAAGTTGTCACATCTTTAAAACACCACCACTCTTGGTTATGAACATAAGTTCTGTGAATCCATTCCTTAAATACCATAACCTAAGACTAATACAGCCATTCAAGCACATTATAATATAACACATTCCCTTTATGTCTCAGGAAGGACGTGTCTTGTGCAGCACTGTACAGGTTAAGTGATTTATTGTCGCCTGAGCTTCAAAAGCAGTAATACCCCTTCGTTTTTGAGACCTCATTAAATGGTCAGTAGCCCAGCAAATGACCCCCCTGGGGCAGCTGGAGGAGCCCAAAGACGCCTTTGGGACCCCATAACAAAATCTAAGCTGCTCACGAAGTGGGTTCTGAGGCCACATCTTTCAACTTTTCCAAGATCTTCCCTCCCGCCCAGTCTTTGTTCTCTGAACTGCAAGGAAGAAATGAAAACACCACCACCTTTGCGATCTCCATTACTCCTCTTCG